GCCAAGAGGATTAAATCTGCCCAAAGAGCTCGGAGGTCACTCAAATCCACAATAATAGAAGAATGTATACTGCAAGCTAGGAAAGGGAGCACCAGGTCCAAGTGGTCACCAGGATGGTGAATGAGTCCTGCCAATGAAGCTGTTAGGGAAAAGAAGGCTTTATTCGGAGGAAGGAAGTCTTGCCCAGAGCAGGAAAATGGAAAGGAGGACCAAGCAGCAGACAATAAGAGATGCCATACTGAATTTTGATGAGCACGTGGCTAATAGCATCCAGGTCAACAACGAGGAATGCTTTGAATATGTAACAAACTGGCTAGGGAGTATTTGTCTCACTGCTGACAACAGTGCTGAAGGAGCATTGAAGAAGGAAAAGCAGTTTGAGGGAATAGGGGTGAATCCTGCCAATAATACTTTGCTTCAGAAGGTAGACCTAAACTGATGTTTTCAGAAAGTGAGTTGGAAGAACTGAGGCATGCAGCTGTGATCGGAGATGATGTTCTTGACCTAATTGACAAATGGGTATCCATCCTAGCCTCCTTAAAAACTCTCAGGTATGAAAGTTCTGATCTTCTACAAATATATATGTAAGGTTCTTCTGCATACCAGAGACTGGAGAACGGCCCTAGTTGCACCAATGTGTAAACAGGGATCAAGAGACATCCCTTACAGTCCAGGTAATTTAATGTATGTTCCCAATTAATTGGTTGGGAGCATTACTAAAGACAAAGGACATATTGAAGGATACATCGTATGGAAAAAGAATCATGATGGCTTCCTTGAAGCTTACTCCTGTCTCACTGTTTAGAGTTATTTGAGAGTATTAATACATATATGGACAGGGATATGTTGTTCATTTGGTCCTCCAAAAGGCTTTTGACAAAGTCTTTTATCAAGGTTTCCTGAGCAAACTTAAAAGACATGGGATAAGAGGAGAGGTCATCTTAAGGATTGATAATGGACAAAAAAAAGAAAGACAGACAGAGAACTGGACATGTTCAGCTTTGAGTAGAAAAGGCTGAGCGGGGACATGATATCCCTCTGGATGTCCCTCAAAGGCTGCCACAGAGAGGAAGGTCAAGATCTCTTCTTGCTGGTGCCAGAGTGCAGGGCACGGAAGAATCAAGTCAAGTTGCAGCAACCGAGATTCAGGCTGGACATCGGGAAAAGCTTCCTCACTGCCAGAGCAACACGACAGTGGGACCAGCTGCCTGGAGGGGTGGGGGGCTCTCCCTCACTGGAGACATTCAAAGCGAAACTGGACAGCCATCTGAATGGGATGGTGTAACTTGCAACAGCAGGGGGTTGGACCCGGTGGCCTTCATGACCCCTTCCAACTCTACTATTCTGTGATTCTATAACCTGTTCTGGTGTAACTTCTCCCAGCAGAGGGCTGTAAAAAGTTGGGTCCCACAGACACCCACCTAAGCAAATTTTTAACTTGTTCATAAACACTCTGGAATTAGCAGTGAGCTGGACAAGCTTCCAATGGCACCAAATTATTTTGGATGGTTAAAACAAAGAGATTGCAAAGAGCTTCAAAAGGATTTTTCCTAATAGGGAGAATGAGCAGCAAAATTGCAAATGTGGTTCAAGGTAAGCATGTGTGTAGTGATGCACGGTGGGGTGGAATATTCCAGAGTGACAGATCCGTGGATGGGGTTTGACTAAGGAAGACTTCTTGAGTTGCAATGAACAGTGTGGAGGAACCGTCAACTCAGTTTGTGGCTGCTGTGGAAAAGGCCAATTCCACGTTAAGCATGATTAGGAAAGGCACTGGAAGTAAAACTGCAAAGATGATACTTGTACAAATCTTTTGTACACACTTGGAACGCTGTGTATGGTATTACTGTAGCCAAAAGAAATAATAAAAAATTGAGTTGGAAAAGGTGCAAGAAAGACAACCAACTTGATCAAGAGGCCGGGATGGTGCCCCTTTGGAGAAAGGTTACAGAGATGGAGCTAAGCCACCCTCAGAATAAGCCTCCGTGGGTTGGTTGTTGACGTGCTTACATGACAGATGACCGGTGCTGCGTGGCTTGCCATGGCTTGCTTCCCCTCGGTCCTCCACCCACCTCTGGCACATGGCCCTGGCGCCTTTGCAGCCAGCACCTTGTTTCCTCAATCCCTACGTCAGCACCCTTTCTGCAGGCGTCCGCTGGCCTGTATATATACACACATGAATGCTCAAGTTCTCCTGGCGAGAGAGAGGCTGCAGTTCCATACGACGACCATTCCAGCATCCAGAAAGATGTTGAAATTCCTGATTTTGCTTGGAGCACGTAAGAACATCCCCCTCCTCCTGGCTCTCTTTCCCACTGCGAAGGGTCTTTGGGAAAATGCTGTGAAATGAGAAAGATTATCAAGCTGGCAGGATCTAGTTTGATTTTTATTGGGACCCTTGACATTTATCAGCTGTAGCATGAATACAATATTCTTAGATTTAGATGATCTGAACCCAAGAATACTGGGACTGGTGGCAGGCCTTCTGGGCACAAATCCTCTTCTGCAGTGCCAGCTCCGGGGTTTTGTGGGAAAGGCCCTCCAGAGCTGCCTCCAGGCCACCTCCCAGGCCTGGGCCAGAGGCAGAAGCAGGAGGCAAAGAGCAGGTCACAATGCGAGGGATGGCATCTGCCAGGGCGCCCCTGCCGGGAACGCTGGCCTTGCCCTCTGGCCCACTCCCCACCTCCCACCGCGTGTCAGCCGGATAATTCAGGGCCTGCAAATGCCACTTCCGACGTGGAATTGGCATCCTTTCCTGTTGCTTGTGTTTAAAATGAGGAGCCAGATATCCTTGCCAATCTATCTCAGATCACCCAGACAGCTGCAAGGACATACTCTGTCCACCCCGGGGTAGAGTGTCAGTCAGGCTTTTGGTGAAATTCTAGCTCAAGGTGAAACTCCAGTTCTCGTCCTGCCAAGGGACTAGACGATTCCTTATACACGCTTACTCTGCATTTAGCCAAAATCTAGACTTGGTTTCCATTTGTACCCGGATGGAAGACTCCATGCATGCTGTGTATTGCCTTGGCCATCACGGGAAAAGAAAGGTGGTATAGAAATGGATGCATAATCCAGGTTATACCACATTGATCTCAAAATAATATTTCTTGATGCCAACACACACACACACCTCTGAGGCTTTCTGAGAATGGAGGTAGAAGGCAAACTTCCCAGTCAGGTAACTATATTACAGGTTGGACTGGGCAGTGCTTTCTCTTTACAGGGCGGAGGTATGGGAGACACCTTGGTGGGTCCCTGTTTTTCTTTGATACGTGAGGTCAAAATCCTGTAGGCCAGTTTTTCTTGAATGGGGGCTTCCAGGTGTGTTGGACTGCAACCTTCATCCAACCAGCAAGGATGGTGGGTGCTGTGGTCCCATATCTGGGACGTGTCAGGTTGCAGGAAACTTTATACACATGTGTCCAGGAGCATGGAATGAAATAAGATTTAGTTCTGAACAGGGATGTATGGAACTGGACTGCCACATCTGAACAGGATGAGAGCGTTTCGGTATTATCCATACAATGTGTTGCACTGGATTACTTAAGATGTGTATCAGTCTTGTTTTGAAATATCTACTCTGCACTCCATCTAGAACTGTAAGGATAGGAGACAAAGCATTGAGAGTGAATGTACAATGCTGTTTTAAAATCCAGTTTAATGAATTAAAACCACAACCCAGTCCCTCCAGGCTCAGCCTCAGTTCCCCATGTTAACCTGAGATAACGGGCCCCTCAACATCTCTGAACGATGCCAACACCGGCCTTGTCTGGAGATACTGAGAAGCCGTGGCAAATTTCCATGTGGTGCTTCTTATTATGGCAACTGCCAGTTTGCAGACGTGGGCCACGGTGGGGGCATGGTGTGTCTTCGTGTTATGGACAAACCTAGTGGGTTGCTGCGGTGGCGGCAACCCCCGGACAGCCCACAGGTCCCAAGTAGCTTGTCCAGTTGCTGCAGCAAGCTATCCTCATCAGGTTCTTGCGCAATCAGAAGCCCCGGGGCGGGGAGGCTTGGACCAGCAACCTGGGGCCAAAGCCTACCACCGATCAGCCGCAGGAGTCCCAGTGTGCCACAGCTGCGCACCAGGTCACTCAGATTTGCATGAGTGCCCAGAAAGAGAGCATTGTCCTGGGCTCAACAGGCATTCACTGCATCTGGGGGATGCTCGAATTGGAGGAAGGTGGTGTGTGCGTGAGTCATAGGAGATATATTTATATGGGTAGGTGGGTGGATGGATGGGTATCTGAGAGAGGGAGGGATGGGAATCTGCCTTCTTATGAGTCAGTGTACTAGCAACACTGACAAGCTCTCCAGAGTTCCTCTGCCCTGGCCAGATTGAACCCAGAAACTTTTGCATACCAAACTGGGGCTCTGCCACTAAACTGAGGCTCCCCCTTGAATCCAAGACAGCTGGAGGGTACCAGGTTGAGGGAGACTGTGCTGCAGTTAAGGCAGGAGCGGCCAACTTGTGGCCCTTCAGATGTCTTGCCCCACAACTTCCCTGGCACCCAACGGTTGGCCAAGCCCGATAGGCTGGTGGAAGTTGTAGTTAAAGCCCCGGAAGGGTCACAAATTGCCCATCCTGAGTTCAGATTTCTCTCCAGAAAGCATCATAGCTAGCAATGAGAAGCAGCTCTTTTCCTTGTATGCATTTGCCCTGCAGACACATGCTTTGGATAAGCCGAATAAGCAATAAGCAGCTATTCAGAGGTAATGGACACTGCGCACGATTAATTTGGTGGGGCAGCTATGCGCCACTCCCACTGTCTGCTACAGCCTCCCGCTACTCTGCGATGCGGGTTCGGGTTCGGGTTCGGGTTGGGCTACCCAGTGGAACAGGCCCCCAAGGAAGAGGGCTCCTGTTGGGACGAGCACCACGGCCCTGTGCACTGACGGTAAGCGAGAGCCATACTTACCGGCGTGTATCTCAGGACATCTGGCCAGGCCAGGTGCCTTCTCGCTGAAGGACTTCTCATGTGCCGTCCTGCTGTTTCCAGTCAGCACCGTCACACCCGCCCGTGTGCCGAGGGCCCTGTGGCAGTTCCGGTCACTGATTGAATGCGCCATTCCCGGCAGCTCTCCATACTCCGAGTTCAACCATTACGGATGCTACTGCGGCTTCGGAGGCTCCGGAAATCCAGTGGACGATCTCGACAAGTGAGTGACAACTGAACGTTGCATTATGCTCAGCCTTACACTGCCTGGGAGATCTGGGGACATTTAGAAGGAGCCCCAAAAGCGGGCCAGGCTGGCAAGGGCTGAGCGCCGAAGGGCCATGTTTACACTGGGGGCTCTTTCTTGAGTTCTTCTGGTGGTGCTTGTTCCAAGAAGGATTGGGCAAGTGCTTGGGCATTGCACAGCAAGCTGCTCTTCTGTTACCAGAAAGGGGAAGTGGTGGGTATCAAAATGCTCTGAGATTCAGGCCAGCAGGACAAAAAAGCACTAATTCTCTTACACCGATTTACATACTCATATGCTTTAAAGTATCTTTGGGTATTTGCATCTTAAAATAACCCTGTCTCCCAAGGACAGCCCTTTCTGTAAAAAGTGATATATGGAGAGGGGGGAGAAGGGCTTTTGCATACAGGAGAAAGGAAGGAAGGAAGGAAGGAAGGAAGGAAGGAAGGAAGGAAGGAAGGAAGGGGAGCTGAAGCACATGTGGGCCAAAATCCAGGTAAACCAGGTGGGATCAGGTATTCCAGAGAACTTCAGAGCCCCTGTACCTGTGTTTCAGCAAGCGTCCCTGGATAGCATTGGCCTCTCAGAAATTTGGGGCTCCAAATAAAAGATGCAAGGCCATCCCCTGACATCACCTCTGGATGGAAGAGAGAAACATAAACTGCAGAAAGGAATTCAGTGGCTTGTTGCTGGTCCTGTTTTTATGTGATGATGTGACTTTGTTACAACCGCAGTAGAAGATGCTGGACTTTTGTTTTTCTTATTTATTCCATCTTTCAAACTGCAGTGGGCAGGATGCATGTCTCAAAGAACACAGGGCTGGGAGAAAGTTGTCTGGCATATGTGTTTTGATGGATCAAGTGCAGAGCGAGGCAACTGCAGTCTGGATTTGTCTAGAATTAATTAAACCTGAACTTCAATAAGGCTGCGTCCCTTGGGAATTCGACAGAACTGATACCTTAAGGGGGAAATGTGTTCAAAGCTCCAAACCCATTTGAAATTGCGAAGTTTCTCCCAGCTCTGCTTTGTATACCTGACAACCTTGTCTCACCCGTTAGCTCCAAATGGAAGCTTACTGTGCCGGAAACTCAGCTGGCATGTTCAGAAAATTTCAGTGTGATTAAAAATGAACGGGAATAGAAATGAATGCCACTGCCGTCCTGGTGCGACAGCTGAACCTACCCGAGCGTCAAAGATAGGCATGCAAAGGTGAAACATTTCTTGTAGGGAGCTGTCAAGTGCTTGTGCAGTTGGACCTTGAGTGGATCATCGTCTTCCAGATGAGCTGCTTCAACAGGCGTTGGAATTTATGCTGCTCGGTTGACAAGGAGAACATTATTGCTAGGAAAAGCAGGCCGGAGTTCAGCACACTTCGGGAGTGCTGATGTTGAGCATTTTTGCAGAATTCTTTCCAATTACTCAAATCTTGCTGAATATTCATGAAATAAGCAAGAATTATGTTCAGCACGATGCTGCAGGAAATCTGATTTTGTGGCAATAGTTGGAACCTGGCATGGAGTGTTGCTCCAGGTTTGAAAGCACTTGAAGGCTAACAGGCCCCAGGAGAGTGACAGCCAGGGTGGCATAGTGGTTAAGAGTGCGGGACTGGGGCAGGCAATCCGGGTTCAAGTCCCCGCTCAGCCATGGAACTCACTGGGTTGCCTTAGGCCAGTCACAGACACTCAACCCAACCTACTTCGCAGGGTTGTTGTTGTGATATAAGCTGCTTTGAGTTTCTTGAAAGGAAGAAAGATAGGATATAAATATAGTAAATAAATATAGAAATGGATAGAATCCCTCAAGGCAGTTCAATGTATTGCTTATAGCCATAGGTCATCACAAACCGAAAACCAGACCAAGAAAAATTAGGTAGAGTTAGAAATCAATGGGCTCACTTTAAGTATGACTATGACTGTCTTGAAGCCATAGCATTTGTGTATTGATAGGAGAGGCAAAGTAAAAATAGCATGCAAAAACCATTTGTTCAACACTTGGGGAATGCAAATGGGGTGTTTTAGCAAATGTTGCATCGATACTCCGAAAACCACGTCCACCCTAGGAGTCCTTCCCTTACTGTAGCCTCCTCACCTGGCCTAAGGTGCTGAGGAAGCCTTGTGCAGAAGGGCGTCCATCCAGCTCCTGCCAGACCAGGAGCAGAGGCAAGGCAGAGGGCGAGGCAAGCGCAGGCGGGACAGATCAGGCCAGGCACGGCAGGGGCTGTGGCGATGGAGGCAGCAGTGATGCATCTGGCTGCAGAGGCCAGGGAAGCCTCATCCCTGGAGACCCTTTTAAGACCTCCCCTTGCTGTACAACCTCCTCTGGCAAACTGCAGCTCAGGGAGGTCCATAGCAAAACTGCTAGCCGCCCTGCAGCAGGACCCTCCGGAACACAATTTATTTCCAGGCCAGAGGTGATGTGCATCTTGCTAAGCACGATGAAGGGGCTGCAGCAGTACTTCTATCAGGAACGGTGTTCTTTAGCCTCGGAAAAAGGGAGTATGAGGGGGAACGGGAATAGACATGCATAAAATCATCCATGGCGTGGAAAAAGTGGAGGATCGGAAAACTTTCCTGCCCCTCTCAGGACATGGAAGCCTGGGCCATCCCGCAAAGCGTAGCAGCAGGACACTCAGCACCAAGCCGAAGATGCCCTTCCCACAGCGCACAGTTAAGTGATGGAACGTACGGTCACAAGATGTACAAATGGCCACCAGATTGGCCGGCTTTAGACGGAGGTCAGGCAAATCTATCACGGGCAAGACGACCAGTGCTTGCCAGCTATGATGGATATCTGTGACCACCGGGATCGGTGGAAGGCCGCTTTGCAGCACCAGAGGTGAAGAGTAGGAGGAAGAAGGTGCTGTTGCGTTCCTGCCTTGCGGTGGATTTCCTATAGGTGTCTGGTTGACATGAGCAGAAACCTGAACTAGATCTGTTTGGATCTTGCAGGACTCCCAAATGTTCTCACCAGCTGATACTTGAAATGCTCTTGTTGATCCACAGCGATTGTGCCCCTTGTGAGCATCTCTCCATCCTCCTGCTGTAAATGGAATGTCTGATTTAGAAGGAGCACTGCTTAAAGACATGGCTTTAGGAAGGGGGTGCAGAATCTCTTTCAGCCCATGGGTCAAATCTGGCTGAACGCAAATCAGGTGGGACCAAACCTCATAAAATACCAGCACAGCTTAAAGCACTTTCTGCTAGTTGCCAAGTCTAAGGAGAAGTATTTCAAGCTTTCAGAATGGGGGGAAATCTGTAAAAAACCTGGTGGCGGGGGCACCGAATGATTGGTGGCCAGGGAAAGGGACAAAGAGTTCTGGAGAACCTGAAAGCACAGAGCCTTCTTTACACTGAAAGGAAAAATGGAATCTATCTGGAGGTGGGCACCAGATCTACCTCCAAATGTGCAAGAAATGGAGAACTGACCGTTCAGAGCACTGACCCTTTCTTTGCAGGTGCTGCCAAACACACGACGCATGCTATGATGCTTCCGTAAACATTCCAAACTGCCACACGTTTTTTCACAATCCGTACACCCAGACCTACCACTACAAGTGTGATGGGACCAAAATAACCTGTGAAAGTAAGTGAGCGGGATGCACTGGCATCTTCCTTCCTGAGCCTCAAAGGTCTGCTGTTGCTTTCTGGTGGGACACATCATGCCTGCAAACAGCCCCGCTCCCAGGGGTGCCGGCTGGGGAAGGGAAGGGGTGGCTTGCCACCCTGGTGGAACTTCAGATCCATTCTGAGAATGAGCCCTTGGGAGCATCTGAGTCTTCAGCCAGCATATCATTGCCGCAAACCACCCTTGCTGGATGCACATGGCATCTCTTTATTTATTTTTCGATTTATATCCTGCCTTTTTCCTGCAAAGGGCTCAAGGCAGCTTACATCATTCTCCTCCTCCATCTTATCCCCACAACAACAACCCTGTGAGGTAGGCTGGGCTGAGAGCCTGTGACTGGCCCAAAGCCACCCAGTGGGCTCCATGGCCGAGCGGGGACTCGAACCCGGATCGCCTGAGTCCCAGTCCCAGGCTCTTAACCACTACGCCACACTGGCCCTCATGGCAAGCTGTCCCGGTGGGGGCGATTATGCGATCCCCAGCACATGACTGGCACATGTGGAGCGGGACAGAATCCACTGTGGCTTCTTTCTCCCACTGTGCTTCTGTACACTGGGTCCCAGTGCACGTTATAAGCTGGCCTTGTATCATTTGCATGCCAGCAAAGACTGCCTGCAAAGCAAACCATGCAAAGCACCTCTTCCTCCTGCTAATAGCTATCCGAGTTGATTAGCCTGCCCGTTCTTCCCCCAGATGTCGCCTGCCACAGGACTCTCAGTTTTGCCTCCAGCTTCTCTATTTCGATAAAACAACAAAGAGCCTCATGGCTCCTTGAAAACCAACAGATTCCTTCCTGCGCAAAGGAAGTGGCTGGGCGTCCATGCCGTTAAGCAAGGGGTTCGGTTGATGCTGCGGACCACCTAGCTTTCCCCTCTGCCTCACGAGAGGGGAGCGATAGAGCGCAGTGCAAACTCCTACGACTTATTGATGCCTGGTGAGGAATATCATTTATGCGCTTCGCTCGGATCTGCATGGGTTCCTTCCATTGCCGCACTCCTGCATTTCAGTCCCTGGATTGCACTGCCCCAGCAGGCACCAGGGCAAAAGTATAGGAAACACCCTGCTGACTTTCGCTCCTAAGGTTGTTCTTTGCAACCAAGCTCTTCGGATGCTGTTTCAAATCAGTGCAGAATGCTTGGATGTGCTGCTAACCAGCTTCCTCCTTCCAAAAATAGCAGCAGCACCTGCGGATGGCTGCAGGGGGAATGCCAGAAAGCCAGGTCCCTTCCATGGACTGATAAAAGGCACGGGAGTGACAGTCCATGATCCAAGCCCTCCTTGCCACAAGGGAAAGCTCTGGGACTTTCTGCCTCTGTCAGCATTGCTGCTGCAGCAAAACTGGCCTCAGGTTCTAAACTAAATGGGGCAGAAACAGGCTGTAGGCTTGTAATGTGATATGAATGGGACAGTGGCCCAGAGCTCTCCACTGTGTTCGGTTCAGCCCACCCACTGCGCTTCCTTTCCAGTTTTGAATGCTTCTACGTTCATTTCATCGATCCTGAAGTTCTCCAGGATCTGGGGAAGCTGGAGAGCAGGTTCCCTTTCCTATCAGCTCAGCTTGATCCCGCTTTGGCACTGAGGGCCCCTGCACCTGGCAGAGAATATGGACTAGAAAAAGCTTGCATTTTTCTAGCACACTAAGAGTGCCTTGCAGGAAGACGTCTAGTCATTGCAATAGGTTCCTCACTGCTCACTGCAGCCTCACCCCCGAGGCCATCTGTTGTGCTGCAGTGAAGCTGCAACTCTCAGGAAGAAGTGCGGGGACTCCTGAGTTGCAAAGATGCTGGTTGGCCAAGCTGCTCAGGCTCCGAGCTGCCACCCCCATCCCGAGCTGGGGAACTGGCTTTCCCAGCAGCAATATACTGTGAGCTATTCCTGTTGTTACAGGGAGCTTGGGGTGGGTTGGATGAGCAAAGAAGAGGACCAGGGAGCTTTGCAAAAGGTGTTGCTGATATATATACCTGCATGGGGGGGGGGGGAGCGGGGCGGAGGGGGCTCCTGCTTTTGGGATTCTCACTCAGGGGGTAGCTGTGGGGACTTTTAGGGTGGGTGCCTGCAATTAGGAATTGATGGTTATACCTCTGCTCAGAAGAGAAGGGACGGGACGGGACGGGGTGGGGCAGGATGGGGTTGGGGGCGGGGGCTGCAAAAGGCGAGAGAGAGCAGGACAACTTGTCCTCTGGGCTCCTGCACAACTGTTTCCAGGATGAGGGCGGGGGAGGCTGCTAGGGCTCGCATCCTGGACTCCTCCCCACGTGGTGGGCGCAAGCATCTCCCGTGCCAGCAGGGTGCGGTATCCGCTCTGGGTTTCTGAATGTCTAAGGGGCTGTCTGGGATAATGAAGCTATTTTGGGGACAGGTTTCAGCACCATGGAAAGCTTCGTTAAAGTTTATTTATTTATTTGTTTGTTTTTCGATTTATATCCTGCCTTTTTCCTACAAAGGGCTCCAGGCAGCTTACATCATTCTCCTCCTCCATCTAATCCCCACAACAACAACCCTGTGAGGCAGGCTGGGCTGAGAGTCTGCGACTGGCCCAAAGCCACCCAGTGGGCTCCATGGCCGAGCGGGGACTCGAACCCGGATCACCCGCGTCCCAGTCCCGCGCTCGTCACCATGACGCCACACCGGCTCTCATGTTCAGGCGAAAATCTGGAGGGGACGTGAGGACTGCCCCCTTCTGGGGCGGGAGGGCTTGCTTCCCGCAGCAAGACGTCCCTGAATTGCTGCGTGTCCACCTCTCCTGCTCTTTTCCAGGTACCAACAATCCCTGCCAAATGCACGTGTGTCAGTGTGACAGAGCGGCGGCGATGTGTTTTGCTGCGGCGAAGTATCATCCCGAGAACAAGGACCTGGACAAGAAGAAAGTCTGCTCATGACCTGGGCACTGCGGGAGCCCTAAAAGATGCCGCGTCCAGGGCTCAAATCGGCATAAGATGTGCTCAGGCTGATTCATGCAGGCACATTTCCTCATTTATCTACATTTCACTGAAGGAAAACGCTGCAATGCATCTCCCTTTCTTCACTCCTGCGCTGTCATGACTCTCACAAGCCACTAGGGCTGAAATAACTAATCCTTCTTGTCAGATGATTAATAAAATGATTGCAAAACTCCAACCTCTGAGCTGGTTTGGCACTTCTTCCAGGCTCTGCTGCCTCCATAGAGACATTTCCTGGGACCTTCGCTGCCATCTGGGAATCTCTCCTGCGTGGTGGTCTCTCCCTTGCCCCACATTCTGCCATATTGGTAGTAGAGATGGATGCCATCTCTTCATTCACTCCTGGTGGGGTCTGTGCTTCTTGCTGTGCAGTTCCATATTCTTGGGGGTTTCACATCCCTTTACACTTTGCTCACCGAGGCCTCACATTCCCACAGCTCTGCCCATGCTGACAAAGATGAACTGTTTCAGACATGTTGCATTCTGCAATGCTTTAATTTTAAAAATATATTTTATATATACATTTTATTTATTTAAAGGTTTTATATACTGTCCACTACTAGTGTCTCAGGATGGTTTTACAATAAAAGCAACACAGGATATTACATATAGCATATTATATAAAACAATTTATATTATTTAGTTTTTTCTTTATATTTATATTTAATTTTAGAGATATAAATAAATTTTATTAAATTAAATTAAAATAAACTAAAGTCATATAAATAAAGTTCAATTTATTTATATTTAATTTAGAATTTATATGATTTAAAATATTTATTTTGATAAATATTATAAAATAATTGATCTTTAAAAATTAAGTCCAAAATAATTTAACTTATTTTACTCATTTAATTTAAAATTAATTAAATATAGTTCATGAAAATAACTGATTTTTAATTTTTAAAATAGTAATATGAAGATCCAGGGGCAAGTTCACATCTGTTTCAAGGGCCTTCTCTTTAGCAGCAGTAACTGAATGGAGGGGCATGAAAGTGCTTCTTCTGCAGGCTGCAGGTCCCTGGGTTAAAGGAGCGTCTTTCATAAGTGGAGTTGACATCTTTGGATTTGGGGTGGGAGATCTCCCAGGAGTTTTAGCCTAATAAAACTAGCAAGGGTTTCAGATACATCCGCATATTGAATTTTAACCCCATCAAAGGAGAACCGAGGCATTCATGGGTTCATGTAACTGCCAGTACTTGCGCTAACATCCTTCTGTGTCGGCAAGAAATGTAGCTCTACCTCAGACCGACCCTCCCACCTCTGGCTTGGACCTGTGTAAGCCCAGACTTCTACTCCGCCTGAGGATGCACCCGCCACTACTGTGGTTGAGCCAGTCTCGGAATATTATGCCCAAACTGGGGGAAGAAACATTCATGGCCATTTCTGAGAGGGCCCCCTGCTCTGCATGGCACTGGGTTCACAGGGCCACCCTCCATGCCAACCCTGGAAACACCCTGTGACAGCTAAGTAAGATTTTAAAAAATCCCATGCGCTTGCCTTCCCATAGACTATCCTATGGCAGCTGCATCTTGAGCTTCAAGCAAGTTTAAAGGTGGATTCACTTTGTTGGGATCAGGCAGAATTCCCTGACTGCGGTGGGACCTTTCCCAAATTCTCATTCTGTGCGAGCCGCACCTGCGCACCTGTGCCAGCTTGCACAAAGGTTCCAATGGGTGCCGTTCCTGCACTTCCTTTCCAATATCAGCACATCACCTGCACAGCCGAGAACACCTGGAAATCCAGGCGCAGCTTGAAAAATTCCCACTTGGAGCTGTTCAGAGGCAGACAAAGGCCAAATGCAAGCCAACCGAAGCATTATCTTGCAAAGGGGATAATGGAACTGGTCTAGGCACACGTTCCTCCGAAAAGAGGATTTGCTGAAAACTGGCAGCACTGGGAATTTCATTCTGTGATGCCTGATGAGGTTACGCTATGTGGAGTAATTTGTGGGCCTGTAAGTGAGGGAGGCCACAGCCAAGAATGGCTGAGAATTCCTTTTCCAATCATTTTTTTTACAAGTTATCCAACTTCACATGCTTTTTCATGTTCAGGATAGAAAGAGCTAAGTTGCTTTTTGTAAAGGAATGCTGTGGAAACCAAAGTGGGCAGATTCACCCTTCCAGGTGACTCTTTGCTTCTTGGGTCTGTGTATTCAGCCGGAGGGTCTGCAGACATATTGGCCTGATTCCTGCACCGGATGAGTTGCTGCCTCATTTCTTTTTCCTGACAGGTTCCTTGCCTTGACTGGCAAACCAGCAGGCAGGGCAAGGTGGGCTTCTCCATGCTGCAAAGACCTGTCCTTGCACCCATCACGTTTGGCTTTTGCACAGGGCGAGCATCACAGTTGGGCAAGGTATGGCTCCTTCCGGAGGTCTGCCTGCCGGCGGGGGCCCACTGCCAAGAGCCCTTTGAACTTGCCCCCATGGGGGGGGGCAGGGATTGGCAAAAGCCAGCCACCCATCAGCCTTGCCCATCGTTCTTGTGCATCCAGGGCATTGCATGCCCGTGGCAGCCCTGACTCGACCTGCAAAAAAACGGGATGACTGCACAGCACAGGGCAGGCAGACTCATTCCATGGAAGAGCCACAAACTGGAAGCGTCAGGTGCTTCAGAGGTGCAAGACATGAGGAAATGCGTATTTAGTTGTTGTTTTTGTTATGATGATGACGATGCATTTATTTATTTATTGTGACCGAACAGGACTTGCTACAATGATCAGGCAAGCTACTGCTAGTAGAGGTCTTTTTTTTAAAAAAAAAATTCTTAACATATACAAATGCATTAAAACTGTAGACTAGAGAAAAAAAACTAGTATAAACAGATCAAACTAAAGTGAACAAGACAGGTAAAATAGACAAGATTGCCAAAGAAATTTTAAACAGATACCGCCTATGTTACAACCCCCCAAACTGACTCTCCTTCTATCTTCCCGTGATTTATGAGAGGCTAGTAGAGGTTTTGGGAGTCTGCATTCTGGTTGTGAGTCATTGGAAATCCATCTGAAATGTTGTCCAGCTGCGCTGAAGTCAGTGATTGAAGTCCCACAATCGGCTCTCACGGTGCCTCGCTCCCTGCCTTTGTCCGTGCGACTGGGTTGCTCAGGAAAGAAGCTGCACCTGGCCTTTTCTGCTCTCTGCCAGCTGCAGAATGAACTCAAGAACTGCATGCAGCCTCGGTTTGGCAACCCCTGTTATATGCCGTTTTCCTCCTGATTTTCTCTCTCTCTCTGTGTGTGCTAAACTTGCTGCCTTGATCCCTGGCCAAGCTCCGGCAGGCTGCTGGGGAAGGGAAGGGAAGGGAAGGGAAGGGAAGGGAAGGGCTCCCATCAGGGCTGTGGCGAAGCAAGAGCAGGCTCGGTCGGGCCCCCCAGCACAGCAGAAGCAGGGCTGGGATGAGGCCTTGTGCAGCCCATCCCCTAGGCGTCCTCTTGTGCCGAGCCAGGAGGAAGTTGCCAACGCTCTGGAGGGAAGGTCGTGTGACCGGCAGCCTTCTTGGGTCGGGCACAGCTGCCCAAAAGCAGCTGCAGGGCATGGGGGAGGGGCTCTGGGGGAGGCCGAGCCAGGCACCATGCCGGGTGACCACCCTTCTCCCCTGCCTGGGGCAGCGGCAGCTCCGGGTGTGTGGGGCTTAATTCTGCGAAGGCACACAAGAGCGCTCGGACTTGGAAAGGGGACTGGAGGAAGGATCCCCGCCTCAAAACGGATTCCTTGCACACCCCAAGCACAAATCTCCAGGGCCCAATCCCTTGGACTGCTCCTTGAATTCACAAAGGCTTGTGCATGAAGCTCACAGGGACGTTGCACTGGGACGATTTACCAGCCGGGCGCTGGCCTCTTGGCCACCCTCCTCAGCCCTCCTGTCCTGCCAAGCTTGGCTGCCACCCTCTCAGTGGCGGGAGCGGGTGTGGGACGCGTCCCCCAGCCCCCACAGTCGCTCCTCGTTGCAATGCAAGCCGCGTGGTGTGGCTCGGGCTTGAACGGGTGATCGAGACCCATTGACTTGACAGAAGACCTGCTTTGGCGAGAGGAGTGATGCGAGGGCTGTTTTCCTGACACGGATCAGCACATGTCCCTTGACGCTTGCACTCTTCTCAAAGATTCGTCACTGGAGACTGCCATAAAGTGCTTCCATGCTCCGAAATTTGCCTCTTAACCACTCTTCACGCGGTAGATGGGAAACCAGGAGGAAGAGGCCTCTTTCAGAATTTACAGGACAGATTCTCTTCCCCCTCGACTTTTCTCTTTGCATCAACATCAGCTCCAGCTCAACAGCAGTAAATGCTTTTGACAAAGTGTAAAATCGCCCATTTGTGAGCTACACCTGTTGCTGGGAACTTAGGAAGCCTGTGCATCAAATGATGGGCCCTTGATGGGCCCGCATCTGCTGCGAGGGAGGGCTCTGCAAGTCAATACTCTGCCCACCCTCTGGGAATACCTCAGCTGGTCTCAGCACCTTCTTTGGAGACTGGCTCTTCTCTCCTCTAGCACCAAAGTGATGAATCGGCAGGTTTGCGTATGAGCTACGGGGGACATAGCAGGGGCTGGACCACATCGTCCTGTGCCCAGAGCAATTCTTGTGTTTTTCGGGGTTAGCTAATTGCATTGTTCTTGTTCCAGCACACCAGGAATGCAGAAGCAGCAGGAGGGATGAAATGGATGGGGGACGGGTAGAAATGTTAGCAGTCTGCCTCACAATTAAGGGAAGGCCTGCCCGTCAGAATTTATTTTCCTCCCAAGGCTTTTTAACAAGGGATGTGGAATATTCTTGGGACGCCATGCTTCTCCCGCTGTTCAGAGGCTCCCAGCTAGAGACAGGGCGGACCCCGTTGGGATCTGCCCCTCCAAACACTCGGCCCGGTCTTCCAAAGAGAGCTGAGCCAAGAGGGAGTCTGTGGATGTTCCCCACAACCAGATTCCGCAACCAGCAGCTGCCTTCTGCATTGCTGAAGCAGCGAGCAGCATGCTCTCCTGGTGGGCTATCTTGCAACCAAGTGCCCCCGGTTGGCCTTCTTCTGCAGGCGGGCGACCGATGCTTAAGCAGATGCTCTGGTGAGCAAGCAGAGTGCTTTTGCTTTGTTATTTGTTTCATGCATTCTGGAGAGCTCAA